ATGAACATATATTTAAAAAAATAAAATGACAATGAGGAAATGGAGGCCTGGAAAGACTAACTAGCTGCCCAGGGCCCCATAGCCCACTGGTGCCGTGGCCAAGATGAACAAAGCCCAGTGTTCAGCGCTCAAAATGGGACACGGGCTCCCTTTTCTAGCCCACAGCCTGGTGGATGTAAAATTGAAAGGTGAAATAATGCTTTACAGTGTGGGTCTCCAGAAATACTTCTCCCATGTCCTCTTTGCTTGTCTACCATAGTTTATTAGCACCACGCTCTAACCAACTGAGCTAACCGGCCGGTGGTTGTCTACCATAGTTTAGTTTTAAAATAACACTTGAAACCTGACTTCTCTTTTTAGGACAAACCAATTAAAAAAAAAAAAAACTTTCAGAATTTCAATCCCATTGGGTAACTTTTTCTGCAGGTCAATGTCTGTGTCTGAATTGCTTAGATATAAGAAAATGTCTAATTTGAAAATAGTGGGGAATGGTTAAGCAGATAAAGTGGACACCAGTGACTGAAAATGAATTTAGAAGGTAAAGTAATGCAGAAAGCAGATGTAATTGTCTTTATGTAATGCCCCGATGTGGCGGAATTACTCTGCAGCACACGGAAGTGATCACAAGAGGAAACCAACCTACTTAAAGCCAGAGGCAAGCTTAGCGAGCAGAGGAGTGGTAATCAGGAACGAGACACTGGAAGTGAACAAGAGCAAAAAAGATGCAGAATTATTTCAGGATTCACAGTAACTACCAAAAGCTCCCCCTAAAGGACAAGTACATCGACTAAAATGCTCAAATGTTATATTTGAAATAGAAAACACACCCTGTGACATAGAAAAGCTCAGTGGTTAGAGCATCGACTGCAGACGGGATGGTCCGGGTTCGATTACGGGTCGAAGGCACATACCTGGATTTCAAGCCCCATTCTGGCCTGGGTCAGAGCTGTGTGCAGAAGGCAACTGATCTATGTGTCTCTCTCACATCGATCTTTCTCTCTCCCCTTCCCCTTCCTTCCACTCTCCCTAAAAATCATTGGGGGGGGGGGGAGGGGGAATGAGAGGAGGGGAAGCTATAGTAAATAAAACTCCTGCAACCAGAAATATATTTTGACTTGTTCACACGTGTTTATTGAGATGCTGCTGTGTGTTGGGCACTGTTCTCGGCACTGAGACTACAGCTGCGAACACGACAGACCTCATCCCTGTCCTTGCAGAGCTGATGTGCTGACCGCCAACGAGCGAGCCAGTGACAAGATGCCTTCTGAGTGTGGTCAACTCTGCCTCACTGACCAAATCGCCTGGGTCCCACTCAGCATGGCAGAGCCCTGAGAGGGGCGGAGAGGCTGCCTGTTTTCAGAGTTTGTGTCAGCGGCAGAGCCGTGTGTGAAGGGCATCTTCCCCGTGAGGGGCTGTGGTGCAGGGGGTTCTGTAGGGCAAGAGCCTTTCCCAGCCATCCCCGGAGCCTGGCCCACAGCACAGACAACGCCCACAGAGGTGCAGGGGGGGAGGGATGGCGGAGGCCCGCCCAGGGGCCGGGGAGGGGGGGCGCTGCCGGGGGTCTGTGGTGTCACTCATTGGGGAGTGTGTGTCAGCCTACTCCCCGTGCTTGCACTTATGTGCACACTCACCCCCCGGCACCCCTCCCCCCAGCTCCTTCTGAAGAGATGGCACAGGCAGGTTTGTCTCCGTTCCTCAGCCAGAGCTGATGGGTCGGCAAACTGCGGCTCGCGAGCCACATGCGGCTCTTTGGCCCCTTGAGTGTGGCTCTTCCACAAGAGCCACACTCAAGGGGCGAGTCTGTTTTGAAGAAGTGGCATTAGAAGAAGTTTAAGTTTAAAAAATTTGGCTCTCCAAAGAAATTTCAGTCTTTGCGCTGTTGATAGTTGGCTCTGCGGACGAGTGAGTTTGCCGACCCCTGGTCCAGGGGAAGAAATCGGGCCGAGGCTGCGCCAGTCGAGGTCTCCCCCAGGCGTTTGGGGTTGGGATGCTGAGAGCCTGGGCCGGCGGTTAGTCAGGCAGGAAAGAAGCAGGTCCCAGCGAGTGGCCTCGTGCTGGTCTGGGCGGGCCCCCCGAGGGACGGCCCACAGACTGCAGACTGAGGCCTGCAAGCCCTCGACGGCCATTCCGAGATTTCCCGGGCCCTTTTGTCGCCTTCCAGAAGCTTTACTTTACCCGAAGGCCAAGTAAGTTTCTCCTCAGGATGCCCTTGCCGTCGCATCTTCGAGCGAATGAGTCTGGAAAACACCGGGTAAATAGAGTCACAGGACTTCCCAGAGCCTTCCCTCGGCGAGCGGACAGAGAAACTTTCCAGAAGGGGCCGTGGTCGGTGATGGTTCCCGAACTCACGAGACCCAGCTCACCTGGCCCATGTGCCGCCGCCGAGCACCCTCTCGGGGTGCAGACCCACAGACGGCCCCTGGCTGCACAAGCCACGGACTGGAAGCACAGAGAGGGAGGTCACGCCCGGAGGTCGCACAGCTGGGTGATCACGGAGAAGGTCCTGGCTCCTCGGGCCTCACCGGCTTCTTCCCACCACGCCCCAACCGACGAAGGCTTCCTGGGACGGACGAGGCCTGTGCTGGGGTTCCGGGGCCCCGCGGGGTGGTGGGGACACAGGTCCGGTGCAGACTCGAGGGAGAGGGTGGGGTCAGGAGTTGAAGGTCAGGTCTTGGCCAGAGAAACCTCATCTGCCTTGCTCTTGGGAGATAGCCCTGGTTTCAGTAGGGCCTGAGAGCCGATAGAGGTCGACCCAGTCTTTCACGCTACACACACACACACACACACACACACACACACACACGCACACACACACCCGCCGTCTTCCCCCCGACCACAGGCCAGCCAAACAAGAAAGGAACTCCACGGTCCTTGGGGCCCGCCCAGCCATCCAGCGCCAGGATGACGTGGGCTGTAAATCACCCCGTGGACCACAGACTCGGTGCCATCCCCACGGGTTTCCTTTCCTGCTTCTTAATCCTCCTCCTCAGACCGGGTAACAAAAAGCAGATTCCTGCTGGGGCCAGCCACGCACCGCAGCAGGCCCGGAGGACGTGAGCCAGCACTCGCCACATCAAGATGCTCCCCGCTCCCGCTTTCCCCGGCGCCTCCTCGGCCTCTGTTCGCCCGAGGACACACCCTCCTCCTGGCCTAGCTCCCTCATCCTCCCTGGACCCCACTCTCAGCCTTGCCCCAGCCTCGGCCCCTGACTGCCTGCTGAGCGGGGCGCCCCAGGACTGTGGCCCAAGGCCCTCCAGCCCTGGGGTTTTGCTCCTTCCGGGCTCCCCAGCCTCCGGCTCAGCAGGAGCAGCCCCCGTGTGGCAGGATTAGCGCTGCCGATCTGGATTCAAATCCCGATGCTGCCAACGTCTGGCGCTTCCTTCCCTGAGCCGGAGTGGGTTGCCTGGCGGTGCTGAGGGGCTGTGAGGAAGGGCCCTGGCACGGTGGAGGTGCCTGACAGATGTTTGGCTTCAAACATAAGTGCTTAGCTGTTTGGTCAGGGTTGCTGCAAACGGGGAGAGAAGTGTTTGGAGCTGCTTTCTTCGGGGCTTGCTGGGCCGTTCGCATGTTTGGGGTGGACGTGGGGCCCTCACAGAGCCTTCCCCACCAGCTCCGACCTCCCCCACACTAACCCCCAGCAGCCCCATGACCTTCCCCACCTCCTGGGCCTTCCCGGGAGCAGGACACACCCTCCGGCCAGCTTTCTCCCCGGCAACACCACGTTCCGCCCCCAGAGAAGCTTCCGAGGGTTAGGGCTGTGAGGACCCTGAAGGTGATGAACAGGGACTTTGAAGCCATGCTCCTCAGCCCCCAGGCTCTCAAGATGCCCAGGGACGCAGTGTTGGAGGGAACACAGTGGGACTCTGGGCCCCTCCCCACGGGTCGCCCTCACCCCGATGCTCCAGGTAGACCAGAACCGTGTGGATCTGTGTTCTGTGTTAGGGTCCACGGCACAGACTTATTTCTAATGCTTAAGAGGAAGGTTGGACATTTCCTGACCTGCTCCAGGTGTCATTTACAGACGAGGACACTGAGGCACAGGAGTCTCAGGTCATCCAGCTGCAGGGGGAGGGGCTGCAACTAGCCCACCCCTTGACACCTGGTGTGGAGCTCTTCTCGCCCAGGGCAGGGAAGAGGGCCAGGGACACCGTCCTCCTGGGGGCAGGCCTGATGGGCATCCCTCAGAGCTGTACCAGGCATTGTGGTCTCAGGACCAGGAGTCCCTGAACTGCCTATAATCCTGCAGCCCTTCCCACTCCCCCACCCAGCACAATCAGCAGTGGCTCTGAAATGCGGGGGTGATGGTGGGGATGGTGGTGATTGTGGTGATGGTGGTGGGGATGGTGGTGGTTGTGGTGATGGTAGTAGGAGTGGTGGTAGTGGTGATGGTGGTAGTGGTGGTTGTGGTAGTGGTGGTGGTGGTGGGGGGGGTGGTGGTGGTTGTGGTGCTGGTGGTGGGGATGGTGGTGGTAGTTGTGGTGATGTGGTGGTGACGGTGGTTGTGGTAATGGTGTTGGTGGTGGTGATGGTGGGGGTGGGGGTGGTTGTGGTAATGGTGTTGGTGGTGGTATGGTGGTTGTGACGGTGACGGTGACGGTGGCGGTGGTTGTGATGTCGTGATGGTGGTGGTCATGGTGATGGTGGTGGTGGTGGTGATGATTGTGTTGACGGTGGTGTTTGCAGTGATGGTGGTAGTTGTGATGGCGGTGGTTGTGGTGATGGTGGTGGTCATGGTGGATGTGGTCGTGGTGGTCATGGTGAAGGTAGTGGTGGTAGTGGTGACACCGTGGTGGAGGTCAGGTAAGGGGACAATGTAGCCCCAGAAGCAGCCAGTCCTGGGTCCCAATCCTGGCTCCTCCACTTCCTGCAGCCCCTGCCTGGCCCACCTGGGCAGCTGTGATGACTGAGTGAGAGCAGGGGCTGGGGCTGTGCCTGGTCGGCCTCTGGAAATGAGTCAGAATGAGAAGGGGCAGCTCCTGACGGTTGGTGTTTTTTTCCAGGAGTGACTGGCCCTGCGCGGACCAAGGACGTGCTGCGGGCCCTCTTTCCAGCCGAGCCTGAGGGGAAGGGAGCCACCACGTCCAGCTCGTCGTCTTCAAGGTGCCGCCCGATGCTCAGACCACTGCCTCTCAGGGTCAGACAGGAACACACTGCCCCCACCCCTCCCGCCCTCCTGGCCACTCCAGTGACTGCACTTTGCCCTCTGCCTGGCGGGGAGGGGAGAGCTCAGCCTCCCTCTTGCCTGGGCCCGAGGCCCACTTCTGGCTGCAGCGATTCATTGCCAAAGACACCACAGAGACCCTGAACCAGACGTGGTGAGGAAGCCCCACGGAGGAGAGCCACACCGCTGCCCTGTGCCTGTGCCCTCCCGGTGCCCTCCCGGTGCCTCCTTCCGTCTCAAGCCAGAGGCGGGTCAGCAGTTCCACCAGAACTCATGGGAGGATGGACGTTTGGTGATCACTGGGTGCACCTGAGCTTCTGACCTGGACCCTTCTTTCTACACTGAGCCCTGAGCTAGTGGGTTCAAGATAAGCCTCCTGCAGGCTGGAGTGTCTGTCGGGAGTGGGATCTGAGATCCTGGCCCCCTTCTCTCCCTCTAACCAGCTGCCCAGGCCTCTGACCCTGATTCTCAATGTGTCCTGGGCACTGAGCATCATGGGAAGAGGGAAGGGGGAAAGAAGCAATATTGACCACCCTATACCCCACCCCAGGGACCTGGTGTAGGTGACCTGCCTGGGGGGGGGGTGTCTTTGCTCCCCAGCCAACACTCCCTGCCCACGGCCGCCCTCCTGGCCAGGCTAACAAGATGGTACCTGCTTGGAGGCCAGTGCTCTCTTACTAGCTATGCAGGGGGCAGCGGAAGGAAGGGACCAGCAGGATAGGCCAGTATGTGGGGGAGTGGGGCATGTTTAAAGCCAAGGCCTTCTCCTTTCTTTGCTCAAACGGCCAAAGCTGTTCATATCTGTGCTCAACCATCTGCTTCAAATTGAAGTAAAAGCCCCAACGTGTAAGGAAAATGCTTGTGTTGAGTGGACTCTGTGGGTAAGTTGGGGGGGGGGGGGCGCTGGAGGAGGGGAGAGGTGGATCTCTGCCTAGAGATTGGGAGCCCTTCAGGAAGTGGGCAGTGAGTGTGTGTGTGTGTGTGTGTGTGTGTATGTGTGTACGCATGTGTACACAAGGGGCAGAGGGGCACTCACCGTGACCTCTGCCTGCACGAATGACCAGAGGGCCTGACAGGAACATGGGGAGAGCTTGCTCCACTTCACACCTCACTTAATCCATACACAAGTGCCTGAGGGGGGCTGTACTTTCAATCCCATTTTATAGTTGAGGAAACTGAGGCCCCATGAATTCATGGCTCATTAGTGACCAGCCTCACTCCAAAACCTGTGCTCTTATCCCCCTTCCAGCCCTGTCGGTCCCAGCTCCAAGTCCTTGGGCAGTCTTGTCACGTCACCTCATCCCATACACGTGCCTAAGGCAGGGCGATAGGGCCCATTGCAGACAGGGGAGGGAGCTAAGAACCAGGAAAGGGCTGTGTGGAAGGCTGTGGGTGGGGCAGGGCTGCCCAGGGGGAGGGAGACGAAAAGGGAAGAAGGCTGTGCTCATGCTGGATGCACCTCTGTCCCTTGTCCCTCCCGTGTCGCCCTCTCCTGTCTGCTCTGGGGGCTTCTGGGCTGGGGTGTCTGTGGGTGAAACACGGTAAGAAGCCTCCTCTTGCACTCATGGCCCCTTGCAAGGACTAATATCTGGGCAGAATCCAGGGACCAAGATTGCTCAGAGTCCCTGGAACACACACACACACACACACACACACACACACACCTTCTTGTGTGTACATGCACTCCAGACACACACTTATGTACCTTCCCAGGTAAGGGAATTTCATTTCAGATAGATTCAAATTTCATCAGCTCCTGCGAGCCAGCCGGCCGGAGTGGGCTGGAATGGGGGCTGAGAGGGCAGTTAGGAAGGTCAGTCCCCCTGGGACTCCAGACACAGGTCACAGCCTCACCCAGTTGCCCCTCTGAACCTCTGAGCGCCTGTGGCACTTCCTAGGAAAGCAGGAAATGGGGCCAATCAGCATCAAACCTGGCACCAGGGGACCCTCTCTGTTACTAACCGGTGGGGGGAGTACCCCCATCCCACTGCCTGGGGACCCACGGCCTTACCCCCCAGAAGCAGCCCTTGGCCTCCACTGCCCATTCCTTTCCCGTTTACGGCCTTCACTGTCCACGTCCCTTTCACACCAAGGCCGCCAGCGGCATGTGCCCGGGCTGAGTGCTGGCGGTAACGAAATGGACCCCACGGAGCCTGTCTTCACAGAACTCCGGCTTCTGTAGGACAGACCAACGACAATGTTTCACCAGCAGCCTCTAAACAGTTACCTGCCAGCAGCCCTACAAGGAGACCCTCACCCACACAAACACGCTGACAGCACCTGCTATGGCCCCGAGGGGCATTCCCGCACCGGCTGAGGGTTCCTGGGCCCAGAGCCCCCTGCAGGTGTGTTTTCTGCCCGCCCTCCTTGCTCTGTCGTTTGCTCTGGGTCCTGGCCCCAAATGCAGTGATGGCTCCTCAGCCACCAGCCACAGAGGGGCACGGGGACCCTCTCCAGGGGCCTGGGCACCTGCGTGAGAGGCCTGTGTGTGCACCTCTGTGTGCGTGCCTGGTTCCTGCTGCCTCCTCTCGGCGGGAGGAAAGATAAGGGGGTTCCATAGGTCCTTGGGTCCCTTTTGGGGCTCACGGCTTGGCCCGGGCCCTGGGAGGATTCCATCTCCCCACACTACTTCTTCCTGTCCCCATGGCCCACCATTCTGCCCTGGGACCTCGTCCTTCCCCCTCTCACCCTGTCCTCCAAGTGCTGGCCTATTTCTTTTCCTGATTACCCCCCCCCCCCACCCCACACACACACACATACCATCTGCCCTCTCTCACAAGCCAGGGAGGCAGGAGTGGGCAGGTCCCAGGGGCTGAGAACTGGAGAGCAAAGCCCTGGGCAGGGACGCTCGGAGCTGGGGGAACCAACAGAGCTCCCCTGTGTCCGCGATAGGACAGAGCGTGGGCACAGCGGACCGGGCTGAGACAGGCGCCGTGCAGTCAGCATGGGAAGCCGGCGCTGGGGCTGCAGCCCGGACTGCGCTCGCCCTGCTCCTTCCATGCGGCCTCTGGGCCCAAAGGGGACATGCCAGCAGCCGGGGTGACAGAGAGTCTGGCCTTTGGAGAGTCTGCATGTGTTTCCTTCCAGGGGAGCTGTGTGGCCGTTCTCCCTCTGACCTCTCGCTGCCTCCCCACCTGCACAGCTGTGCTCTGCTTCAAGGCTCCAGGGGGACAGGGAGACATGGACGGGGCTCTGTCCGGGCTGGGGCTGGCACGGGTGGGGGAGGGGCAGCTGGCCTCACCCTTTGCCCCATGGGTGTTCAGCTCGCGCACATCCCCTCTGGTCCCCTAGACCCCAGACAAGCCTGTGTGCCTTCCTGAAGCCAGGCGCCCCGAGGAGTTTGGATTTATAAAGTGGGACGGTTTTATAGGTGTCTGGGCACCTGCTTAATCTTCAGATGGCGCCTCCGAGAGGGCAAAGATGGGGCATAATTCACCCCCAAATCCTTGGAAAGGTCTTGCAAACTGTTTATGCTAGTTACTTAGTTAAATTAATGAATAAGAGTGGAACATATGGTAATTTAGGCATTTATGTTCTTCCACAAATAACTACCAAGCAGCTGATTGGTTCGAGACCCTGAAAGAAGGGGACACAGGCCTTGCCCAAGGCCTCCGAGGAGTAAAGTAACTGCAGTGGGCACACCCCAGGCGGACCTCCTGGGCACCACGGGTGGTGTGCCTGAGATTATCAGGATGGCCCTTCATTATTGCTCCCGGGGCTGGGTGGCCACCTCCCAGCTGCCCCGTCCCCCTCTCTGATGCCTTCCTGGCCAGCCCTTGCTCCGCTGTGGCTGACAGAGGTTTATTTCTGAAGGCCCTGCCCTGGGCCCACACCTCCGGGTCAAAGTCCAGGCGCCTTAGCTGCCCATCCGATGGCCCCATCCTCTTCTCAGTGTCTTCAGCACCTTCCAGTCTCCGTGACCTCCAGTTTGGCCATTTGGGGGCACTGGCTGAATCTCAGCCTCGCAGCCTAGCAGCCCCCCTTCCTCAGTCATATCCCAGTTTCCATTTCTCTGGCTGCCCACGGAGTCAGATTCTTTCTGAACCTTACTGGCTGCCGCAATGAAAGAGTCTCCCCCACCCCCCACCCCCACCCTGCCACCCCGTGTCTGTTCTTATCTATTTGTTACTCTTAGAAAAGCTCACTCTGGACTGGACTCGGACTGAGGGAGAAGCTCTCAGAAAGGACAGCCTCTGGCTCTTGGTCTGTTCCCGGAATTTTCTTTGGCCTCTTCATTCTCTTAACCCAAAGTTTAGCATATTATGTGGCTTCTTCCTTTTTTCTACCTACTGTGCTGTTTGTTCAGAGACGTTACACCAACGTTTGCACCACAGGACCTGTGAGTAACAAGATGCTGAATGTCGGGTGGTTTGGTCCGAGGTTTCTTACCTTCTTTGTTTAGGGTTTGTTTCTCACAACATAATGGTGCCCTCCTCCTCCTCCTCCTCCTTCTCTTCCTCCTCCTCCTCCTCCTCCTTCTAGTATATTTCTATTGATTTCAGAGAGGAAGGGAGTGGGATGGAGAGAGAGAAACATGAATGATGAGAGAGAATCATGGATCGGCTTCCTCCTACATGCCCCCTACTGGGTATCGAGCCTGCAACCCAGGCATGTGCCCTTGACAAGAATCGAACCCTGGACCTTTCGGTCCACTGCCCAATGCTCTTTCCACTGATCCAAACTGGTCAGAGCCATCGTTTTCTTTAGAGATTGATAAGTTTGCGGATTCTGCTAGCTCTTTGGGGCCCTAGGCGATGAGGCACAGTGGTATCAGGAAGACCAGAAATATCTCCCCCTGTCCCCTTTTTTCACAATGACCAAGTTGAGAACACTGAGACGGACATC